AGGCCTCTTGAGGTCTCCTCTCTCCGTGTGTGACAGCTGCCCACCACCATGGTACCCACATGATCTGTCGAGCCAGGTCACTGAGGCAGAGCCAATGCAGGCGGCAGCTTGGATTTGGATGCTTCATCAGCAGAACTGCGGTCCACGGCAGGGGTTCTCAGACTTCTCCCACTCATGCCCCTTTCACCTGAAAAATGTGGACCTGATCCTGGGTGGAAAGATAGTGGAACAGTCATATAAAGGAAGCAGTCACCAAAGACACAGACAGATTAACGTCAAGGCTGAGGAGAGCCTGGTGGTGACGGAGCTTGCTGTGCACAGGGGAGGGCCTGAAGCTTGGCTCCCTGAAACCCAAGAAATGCTGGATGGTGGACATGGCGCCTGGCCTAGTTCCAGCCACAGAAAGGATGCCCCAGGCAAGCTGGCTAGCCATATTGGTGAACTCTGGGTTTGTCTGAGAGTCCCTCACTCAGTGAATTAGTAGGAAGAGCAATGTAGGAAGATTTCCATTATCAACCTAGGGGTCTCTACATACTTATGAACACACGTGTGGTCCCCCAAAAGACATGCACTTGCACAGTAACATGGATGCAAAACACCAATATACAGATTACATCACAGCACACACATAAAAATGGAAAAGTAATTTTTAGCGTTTTTATTTACTTTAAATTAGGTATAAATGTGTGTGTGGGGGGGGATATGTCCATATGAGTGCAGGTGCCAAAGGAGGCCAGAAGGGAGCACAGGATCCCCAGGAGCTGAAGTTAGGAATGGGTGTGAGATGCCTGATGTGGGTGCTGGGAAGGGCACTCAGATCCTCTTAGGAGCCGTACTTGTTCTTAGCCACTGAGCCTTCTCTCCAGTCCACACATGTTTTACCTGAAAACACTTCTTTAGGCCAGGTGGTGGGGGTGTACGCCTTTAAACCCAGTACTCAGGAGGCAGAAACAGGCGGATCTCTGTGAGTTCAAGACAAGCCTGGTTTACAGAATGAGTTCCAGGACAGTCCCCAAAGCTACAGAGAAACCCTGTCTTGAAAAAACCATAAATAAATAAATAAATAAATCACTTTTTAAATATGAGCTCAGCTTTTACCGGATGCAGAATGTCACAAATGAGAGGATTTTACCAGATGTCTGATCCTGCAGAACCTAGGGAATTTTCAGCTTTTCAGAGTTGATTAATAGTTTGATTTTATAACTGTCAAATCTGAGAATGCTATTTCACATATGGTACACATGGCAAAAACATTAAGGCTAATTCAGAAAGTTCTGGAAATTCTGTCCAAGCCCAAATTCATTTTTTTTTAAAAAAATGAAACTCAAGTCAGTCACTCAAATAGCAATTTTAAATTCAAACATTCTAGCAATCTAATCCAAAGGTGAACCAGTTCATGCTGAGAGCAATGGCAGGAAACCAATAAATGCTCATTCTCCACAATTCAGCCACTGTGTTTGAAAGGAGCAAACAACTTTGTGTGCAGTCTGAGCCATAATTCCTAATGTAGGCCAGTCCTAGGCCTCGACCTGGGCACTTCAGGCTCTGAGTAGCATGTGTGTGTGTTGTGTGTTCAGAACCAAGACTGTAGGGAAGCCATGAGATGCAACATGGGGGCACTGCCAGAAGCATCTTGAAGTCTTGCATTTCAGAAGCCCCTTACTGATACCAGCTTCTCTTGTAACCTCATGCTCAGTTACATGACCCAATGTGAGGCCATGACCCTCAGTTTAAGCAGCTAAAATCAGGGCTGAGAAATTCCTCCGTGGGTAGGAATGCTTGCTGCACAAGTGTGAGAATCTCTTCGCTCCTGTGAGACCTGTGTGTCCCAACATGTGACTTCACGTGGAGCTGTGAACCAAGATCTACGCACCCCAGAGGGAACATGGAGTGCTGCTGTGGTGACCCTGAGCTGGTGTTCCTTCTGAAGGGAGACAGAAGTGGCTGCACCCGGGAGGGACTGCAGCACATCAATGCATTCCTGCTTCACTCAGAGTGGCTCATTGCTTCCCAGGGGACAGTGGACATGGGCGCAGAGGCTCTCAGAGCGCCACGTTCCCCTCACAGCCTGGCTCTCCCAGGCAAGCCGGGCTTTCTCAGAGTCTTCTCTGAGAGACTTTATGTGTTTGAGTAGAATGCTACCAACAATTCAGCCTGGCTCTCCCAGGCAAGCCGGGCTTTCTCAGAGTCTTCTCTGAGAGACTTTATGTGTTTGAGTAGAATGCTACCAACAATTTCTCAGAGGGTTGGAGGAAGGAGCGAGGGTAAAGCACTCAGAATAGTGTCCTGCAAGGATGTGGACATAAACTTGGAACTCACTGCTTCTGAAGGGGATGGTGGGACTTGGAACTAGCTACAGGGACTTGACGGGCCCAGTTCTCTAGACATCTCTTTAGGGATGAAAAGAAGAACGTGCTCTTCTGTTTCTTCTTTCCTAGACACATTGCCACAGAGTCCCACTAGAATTATGGGTTGTGCCTTGAAGCCATAATGCCCCATGTGAAGGGGTGGGGCACCAGGTCCAGATTAGGTGCCTGTTTTATTCTCAAGTGCATCTTTTGAAGTCTGATAGCACCCACTCCTGTTGCCCTGACAGCCAGCACCCAACAAGAGTTACTGGGATCACTTTAAAGAAAGTTAGAAAGGGGATGTAGCTTAGTGTCTTGGGGGTTCTGGAGCTCAAGGGAGCTGCATCTGTAAGCATCTCCCACAGACAGGATCTTTGGCCAGCAGTGGTGATGTTGGTTGTGTTCACTCACCATCGCTACTTAGGCAATGAGATGAGGGTCAGAGTTACACAAGTAGGGAGGTGGGATGGAGTCTATCTCTCACTGCTAGGCTGTCTGGGAATCCCAAAGAACACACTGTGTAGAGGGAAGAGTGTAGAAAATGGTACACTCCATTTTGTTTTCAGCAGATGGGCAAAAGGAGGTCAAAGGTCTAAGTGCACCCACAGGACTAGATGAAGAATGATGGAGAACCAGGGACAGAGGATATCTGGCAAGCCCAGGCTGGCTTGGGGGTCTGCTAGGCACGGGCTCTGCCCCTCCTTACTGCTCTCAATTTACATCTCACCTGGAGTCTATTAGTATTAACCTCTTTTACACGGAGCCCACAGCATCCCCTAACGTATCCACCCCGCCCATTGCTTGCCTTGGCGAGATATCTCCAGACACCGGCAAGCAGAAACACAGACACACCGCTGATTTCTGAAAAGATTAAGATGGGGGCAAGAGAAGCGAGGCAGCGGCAGGCAAGTGCCTCGAATCTTTTCCTAAATGGATAAGGAAACTGGACCGGTAGAGGATTCAAGAACAAAGTATAAGAAAGACAGTTGGCAGTTCATCTTCAAGGTCAGCTTGTCTGGATTTGGGGTCGCCTGGGAGACACACATCTAGGTGTGCCTGTAAGGATGCAGTCAGAGAGGTTTGGCTGAGGAGGGAAGATCCACTGGATGTGGACGGCTCCATCCTATTGTCTGGATGCCGGCGCTGAGTTGAGCAGCGGTCTTCACCCCTCCTCGCTTCCTGCCTGCAGATGAAGTGTGAGCAGATGCCATGCCATGCCTTCCCCACCATGCTGGACTGCACCCTCAAACCAGGAGCCAAGATGAACCCTCCCTTCCTTGGGCTGGTTTTATCAGGTCTTCGACTATGGAAACAAGGCTGATAGGGATTGCTTGGGCGTCTCAGGGAAGAAAGAGGTCATCTATGTGCACCCTCCCTGCTCGCTGCCAACCTTGGGCTTGTATCATGGGGAGGTCCGAAGGGGAAGCCAAGGTCCTGAGCTCTGCTCTAGGAATCAAGACCAAGCACAAGGCTCTGCTGGCGCCATCAGCTATCCCGTGTTGTCCTCCAGCTCTGCACATTTGTGGGTCTGCTGAAGGGCAGGCTGGGGGTTCTCAGCGAGAGATGTGTGCAGAAGACCAGGAAGCATGGGTCCAAATCTCTTGTGGGTCCCTCAGAGAGGCTGCGTGCAGTCACCATCACCTCTCACAGCCTCTGGGTGTGAGCAGTGAAAATGAACAGACCCCAAAGTGTGAAATGAAAGGTGAGGGCTGGGCCAGGCACACCGTGGAGCAGGTCACTCACTGCTACCCCTGGCCTGCCTCCAGCTGAGTTCCATTCCCTGAACCTTCATGGTAGGAGGAGAGAACACACTGTGTTGTCCTCTGAGCTCCACAGGCACACTGTGTGAGGGCCCATCCAGCCCTACTAAATAAATTCATAAAAAAATTAAAAAAGAAAAAAAAAGGTGAGCTAGCTTAATTAGGAGAATGGCTTGGTGCCCCCAGTGCAGACTTGCACTGGGTGCCCTTTCCCTATTTAGCGCCTCTCCCCTCCCCCCAGACTGGAAAGGGATAGAGACCCAATCTGGGGAGACACCCATGCACATCTGGTCACATCTGGTCAAGGGCAAGGTCAGAGCTTAAATTTAAGCTGAGGATCAGTGCCCGTCCTAGAAGCAGGGATGATCTAGCACACCAGTTTCTCAGTTGGAAGGGGCATTAATGTTGCCTGGTGGTTCGGTGGCACTGTAGTGGGACCTAGGAGGTGACAATTACATCATGGTCTCGAAGGGTGTATGGATGGTGTTGGCTAGGAGCATCACAGAACCGCAGCTCTTGGCGACTCTTTAGCATCCCTGTGGGGATCATAATGGTGCCAAAGAGTGCCGGCAAAGCAGATGCCAAAACTGTAGATGGTTGCCACAGACTTGGGTTCGAATCTTTTCGTCCCCCTGACCATGGGTCTACCTAGCAGAGTTCCCCGGGAGCCACGCCCGGGTCCTGTGGGCTAAGGTAGGTACCCGGTCCTCTTTTGGGATCCAAGCCTGGGCTTCTCTTGCTTTAGAACCAAGTCCGTGGCCGTGCCTCCGACCGTCGCGCTTCTCTCCACCGACCAACGTTGCTATGGCAGCGCTGCGGGCAGGGATGCTGAGGCTGAGGCTCGCACTAGCCCCTTTGTGAAGCGCTGGGGAGATGTTCACCCCACGTCAAGCTGCCCTGACCCTCGGACTGGAAGCTGGGTGCTTGTTGGGGGCATCCCCACCCCCTATCCCGGAGGCCGGGTGCGGCACCTCCGCCCCTCCGCCCGCCAGCCGCTCCTGCATTAAAATTTCATGGGCGCTGCAGTAAATGAGAAGACGAAGCCGGCTGCACTGGGGGGCCGTAGGGAGGGAGGCTGCGGACCAGTGCGGGGAGGAGTTTACGAGGGGAGGCGCTTGCAGGGGCTCCCCCAGTTCTGTTGAAAGCAGGGCACAAAGAGCCCTCTGCACTCCAGCCGCAGGAACGAGGAGCCGAGGTAAGCTGGAGTCGCCATTCCCACTCTCAGCCTGGCACACCTGATTCCTGGGAGGGCGATGGGGGTCTCACAGTCCCAGGGAAGTGGTGGCCCGCACTGGGTGGGTGACGGGACCCCCAACCCGCAATGGCCAGATGTGATGCTCCAATGGATGGGTCATGGGAATTGGAACACGGAGGGTACTGGGGTGGGGGTGGGGTGTCTCGCAGTCATGGTCTGAGGGGAAACAAAGACCCTTCCCTTCCCCCACAGCTAGATGTACATGGGCGTGGAGACCCCAATACACACCAACCCACAAGGTTAGCAGGTAACTGCCTAGGCCGGAGACTGCGCCCAGGAGGTCTCAGCAAGGAGGGTGGGTTTGCTGGTGATGTCCCTGACTCCCATTCCCTCACGCCAGGCCCTTCCTCCACTTCTGGGACTCATTCCAGACTTGGGGCGTCCAGTGCATCTCCGCACCCTCATTGCGACATCGCTCTGGATGATGATCAGACATCCTCCCTCGGAAAGCCACCGCTTTGGCAAAAGAGCCCCGCAAAGTGGTAAGAACCCATTTTAGAGATAAGGAAAAGGAAGTCCAGAGAGGGGTATCAGCCTGTCCAAGGTCACACAGCCAATGATTTTTTTAATCCAAACACGATGAACTCTGAAGCCCACGTGGCATCTCCAAAACGATTTGGGTCCACCTTAGTAACTTGGTTCCCCAACCCTCCTAGGCTCTGAGACATTCTCGGCAGAGGCTGGGATTTGAGAGGGAAAGGTTCAGACCTCTCTCATCCTGGACACGAGAGAGATTATTTCTTGGACAGAGGGATTCCGGGGACCCCGGCCTCCTCACTCTAATCCCAGACTCCCAGCACAAGCCTCCAGGCGCCCGGGATTGCTGGCGCGCACACCCCACTGCGGAGCGAAGTCGCGCCAGGAAAACGCCCCCACCTGCTGGAGGGAGGGGCGCGGGGAGCGAGAGCGAGCGCAGAGCGAGAACTTGCTGGAAGCAGGTTTGTTTTTCTCGACATCAAGCCGGGTGCAGCCTTGCTGCCTTCCCAGAGCGCTCTTCCCAGGAGAGCCTCGGGCAGGGATGAGTAACCTCGCTCCCGGGGCTCTCCGCAAGTGAGCTGGTGTCCCGCCACGTGGCCCCGCGCTTCAGCACATCTGGGGCGGGGTTGCGCATCTGAAGGTGCTCAGAATGTCTCCTGCTCCCAGAGGGGATCCACTGCCCCCGCAACATTGCCCCCCTCCCCGTCACCAACCGAGCAGCAGTCGCGGCAAGCAGGTTCCTGGGGCCACCCCATCGGATCCCTGTTTTGGGAGGAGACTGAACTCACCCCACCCAGAGTCTGGTTGATTTCCTATAGAAAGAATGCTATGTGAGCAACTTTATCTCCTGCCTGCCTCACATTGTGTCCTTTTAATATTTCTTGCGGTTGAGGTTGAGAAGGGCTCCGAAGTCCTCCCTATGCTGACCATGCAGAAAATTTAGCCCATCTCTCTGCCCCATAAAAGCGCTGCGCGGGGGTGGGGGTGGGGGTGGGGCGCATCTGATATCTTCAGGGCCCCAAAGAAGTACCCGAATCTTTCCCATCAGGTTGAAGACAATCTCTCTTACCTTTCATTAAAAAAATGAGTGTTGTCCAGGCATGGTCCTTGCAGTCTCAGCGCTTGGTGGCCTGAGGCAGGAGGATGCCAAGTTGGAGAATACCCTAGGCTACAAAAGAGTTTGAGCCAGTCAAGGTTAGTGAGATCGAGACAGAAGGGGGGGGGAGGGGAGGAGGGAGGAGAAAGTCAGGCTAGCAGTTCACCCCTACCACCTCAACACTTGGGAGGCTGAGGCATGAGGATCACCCAAAATAACAAATTAAAAAAATAATAAATCAAGGCAGAGTGTTATGATGATCCTTACCCAGGTATGGTGGTGCAGGAGCATGCTTTCAATCCCAGAGCCTGGGAGGCAGAATTAGGTGGTCCTCTGAGTTCCAGGCCAGCCTGGTCTACAGAGTGGGACCCTGTAGTGTGGGGTCATATTCTTGGGTATGGGGGCTGTTTGCTGTGAACCAGTGTCAGGGGCCAATACTGGGGGCAGACACTGTTCCACACCTGCCTGCCGGGTCAGCTCACTTGTGTGGCATCTGCCCTTCTAGATGACCTTCTGCCTTCTGCTGTTGGAACAGTATGCTTGGGGCATTGGGCCTTTTGTGTGGGTTCAATGGGCCAGTGAACAGCTTGAGGCTCCCTCTCTTCACAGACCCCCCTAGCCCTTGTGTGTGCCCCCCCACCCAGGCCGCTTTTGAGGCCTGGCTCATTTGTCTCTGTGAAACAATAGTCAAGATGTTCAGAGGCACCGGAAGGCTGAGGGTAACATCTGTCTCTCATCCTTTTCTGCATTGATGAGCTCAGATGAGGCAGGTGTCGCCTGCCCTGGTGCCAGGTGGTCCCTCTGGGGGAAGGAAATGCAACGACAGCCTTGACCATTGTTTCCCCCCCGAGGGCGCAGAGTAGGAAACAAATAACAAGAGACCCTAACTACTCTGTGGAAGCCTGAAGATAAGCTGCTTAGCTCTGGGAGGTGCGTGTGTCTGTGATCTCGTGCTTGGGGGGTGGAGGCAGGAGGATGAGGAGTTCACAGTCATTTTTGGATACAGAGCAAGTTCCAGGCAAGCCTGACTACATGGGATCCCCCCACCAACTACAAAATAATAATAATCTTGCACTTAGATATTGGGTGTAAATCAGAGAGGTAAAGTGACCCGTTAAAGACCGCACAGCAATTTAATTTGGAGTCAAGTTTCAAACCTGGATCTGGTGTGTTTGTGACAGATGTGGTGCCACCTGTCCCTTAAAAGGGGACTTAATGATTTACCCTGGGAGTGCGAAAGCAGCTGATGTAAACTGACCCCAGATAAACATGAAAGTAAATTTCTACAGTGTCTGTGGGTCTCTCTCCTTCATCCTCTGTATCCAGAGCCCAAGAGGCTCTACCGCCTGAGATGAGAGCCAAGCCCTTCAATCTTCTCAGCTGTAGAATGGGGAGCACAATCCAGGTCCGTACTGGTTTGTTCTTAGCTGGGCTCCCTTCTCCTGCCTCACCCCCACCACTCCTCTGGCTTCAGGCACTTCCTTTTGCGCTCCCCTTTGCTCAGGTCACTTCCTGCTGATCTCTGGAAGGCTCCCCAGCTTTACATTCCCAGTGGCTTCTGGAGCTCAGGGCACCGGAGACTCCAAAGCACTTTGTGCCAGCGGGCTCTTGTCTGCTTCCTCAGTGTGAGCAACAGAAAGGGCAGGAGAAAGAGAAGCACCCGGGACCTCTGCTGAAGCCCTCCGCCATCTCCCTGACAGCTTTGGTGTGAACTGCATGTCCTTCCCACATCTCTCTGAGGGTTGTGGTGATGCCAATGTGTCCAGTGGTGTGCACCCACTCTTCATTCCTCTCTCTCTCTCTCTCTCTCTGGTAGGTGTGAGGCCTGTCTGTTCACATGCACATGGCTGCCGTGTCTCAGTGGGAAAGAAGCAAGTCTTCATCTCCTGCATGGATGCAGATGGCAGAGGCCAACAGCTTCTGAGTCTCCCAAACCTCAAGGTAGGAGAGACCTATGTCTTCTGGGTGCTAGTCATTTGTTGAGTCTTCTGTAGGTGCTTCTGGTCTTGACTTGGTGTGTGGGAGCAGAGCCATGAGCCACAGTCTACACAACCTCTGACCATGAACATCTCAGCTCTGGTCCTTTTGTCATGCATGAATATCTTTTGTAGAAAATACTGCCATAGAGGTGTAGTTAGCTTGTTTTTTAATTAGTGTACAAAATAATGGGTTTGGGGCAGGCAGAGTGCTTACCTACCATTTACAAAGTCCTGGGTTTGACCCCAGCACAGCACAAACCGGTTGCAGTAATGTAAGCCTAGAATCCCAGCACTTGGGAGGTGGACGTCAGAGGATCAGAAGTTCAGAGTTAACTCTGGCTACATAGTGCGTTTGAAGCCAACCTGGGCTTTGAGAGTCTAAGAAATGAGTAACGGGAGCTGGAATGATGGCTCAGTTGTTAAGAGCACCGGCCACTCTTGCAGAGGACCCAGGTTTGATTGCAGCACTGTACAGTGGCTCACAGCTGTGTGTAGCTCTAGTTTCAGGGGATCTGACCGCCCTTCCAACCTTCCCAGATAGTGTACATGGTGTGCAGACATGCATTCAGGCAAAACACTCATATGCAAAAGTTTTAGGAAGCTAAGAAGAAAAGAAAAACAAAACAAAAAAAGAAACTTCTGTGTGTCCCTTGCCTGCTTGTCCCCTCCCAGGCTCAGCCCTCAGAAGGCCAGTGGCTGTGACCTCCCTGTTTATCAGTCCTGTGCCGCTCAGCCCTGCTTGTACAGCTTTATCGTGATGCAGCACCTTCTGATTTAAGGGTGCGACCCAGAGATTTTGACTACAATTACCAAGTCCTGAAGCTGTGCTTAATGACATTGACGTATATCCATTGCCCTGGTGAGATGCCCCAAGCCTGGGGAATCCATTCCTCTCCCATACCCAGCCGTGTGAGCAATAAACTACTTTCTGTCACTCCCATGGGCAAGTTTCTCTTCTATGGGTGTTTGATATAAATTTGGCCACATCCACTACTCATATTCTTAGGTTTTATTTTTAATTTTTGAGAGAGAGAGAGAGAGCGTGTCTCATTATTCAGTCTGGGCTGGCCCTGAACCCATGACCTCATGTCTCAGCCTCCAAAATACTGGGATTCCAGGAGGGTACTGCTACCACATGCAGCTTGGACCTGCCTTTTTCTTAGCAGAGCCTGTGTGATTTGTCCAAGGTGTGTCAATAACCCAGCTCCTTTGTCACTGTATGTCAGTATATCTCATCATTCGTTAGGGATTTTAATTTGATCCATGCTTCCTAACTGGAGTATATCCCCTCCAAGGTTGTATGATGCCTGAGTATACAAACAGCCTATGTTTCTGCATTTATTCTCCAGGCTGAGGGGCCATGGTCACTGGTAAAGATCCCGCCAAGTTTCCGCAATAACAACTTACAGATAAGTATCCCTTCACTAGTCCCGGGGCGCCAGCCTGCTCTCTGCTGGTGCATGTGCAAAGGAGAGTTGGTCCTGGAACCCCAAGAGGGAGGGTGGATGTCTGATGGATGGCTCTGGCTCTTGGGGATGGCATTTGTAATCTTGGGTAGGCTCCTTGTCTTCCACATACACAGAGGCCTCCGCAGGGCTTCCCACAGGACACATTGCTTCTCTCAGCTCCAGGCTCCTGTGACAGCAGGCTGAGACTGTGCTACGAGATGCTTCCCCTTCCTTGGATCAGGCTCTGGACGACAGATGTAGTAAATTGTCAGGAAAGAGCAAATCTGAGCCCAGGGTTGAGAGTCAGGGCGTCTCTTCCATCCTGGTAACTTACGATGACCTGAATGAGCCCTGTACCTCCCTCTGATTCCAGACATGTTCTCTGCTGTGGGCATCCAGGAAGGGTGGGAACTGAGGTAGACAGAAGGATTGCTTTCACTCCCAGACATTGCCTTGAATGGCTATTATAGTGCCTTGTATGGCAGGGCAGGATGTGTCCCAGGGTCCAGAGAGAGGGATAGGTTTCCAGCAATGGCAGCAGTACTGAGGTCAGAGCTCCAGGCCCCTACTCCATCAGGACTCCCCCTCTGCTGGCCCTAAGTTGCCCAGCTTGCTCTGAGATTTCCTGGATCACAAAGGAAACCACAGTGTGTCCATGTTTGTGAAGGATGCTCTGGGTGGCAGGGAAGAAGGAGGCAGGTGAGGCTCTTGGACCAAAGCAGGGCTTGGGCATGGTCCTCACCTGGGCCAGGATTGGCTCTTCTGTCTTCCAGAGTCATGCTGTGTTGTCCCTGTGGGGGAGGAGCTAGAAGCTAGGCCTGTGATGATGTTGATGATGCCAGGTATGAGTGAGAAACGTGTTTCCTTTTAGGAGGGTGGGTGCTCCTCTCTCTCACATCCCATGACCTTCTGCCTCTGAGGAGGCCTGGGAGCCAGAAGCAGAAGGCTCGCTGTACTTGGCCTCAGTGGGGGAGGATGGAATTGATCTGAACCCCATAGTGAAGGCTCGGCGCGGGGATGGTCATCAGCTCACATAGATATGAACCTGCCCTTCTTTAAGGCCGTGCTGGGTGTCCAGTGGTGAATGACAGGGACGTGGTCCTACTCTCTGAGATCTTCAAGTAAGAAAACATCACCACAGCTCAGCAAGGGGGTGAGCTCTCTGTCCTGCAGAGTGTATGTGTCCATTTGGAGTGGGGATACGTACATGGGGCCTCCTCTTAGACCATGGGGATTCTGGAGGTTTCTCTTTTCCTGTGCTCGACTGCTTCTTGGTTCCTTGCCTTTGGGATTCACTCTGGGCCACCTGCTGTTGGCTTTCTGCTGATCTTTTGGGTGAACTCTGCCTTCCTCTCTAAGTTTATTGTAAAACATTTGTGTCCCACACTCTCCCTTTTGTCCCGTGTGTGTTGGGAGCACAGATTGCAGATTGGGCTATCTGGGGTACCTCAACTTCTTTCATTGTGCCTCTCCCAGATAGCTCTGCCTGTCTCCAGACCCTGGTCTGCTTTGGAGCCCTGGATTTTGACCTCATGGAACGGGGAACAACCTGTCTCCCTGAAGATGCTGTCCTTTCCGATGCCAGAGATGGAGCCCCCTGCAGAAGAGCCGTTTCTGGAAGATACATTACTTAGCATCCACCCTGCCTTTGATGAACAGATCCAGGGTGGGAGAGTGGGGCACTGGAGGCCCTTTCTGATCCCATGTGGACTGGAGGTGGGGCGGAGTTAAGCCCCTCCTAAGGACCTGTGGGTAGGGCAGGGACTCATGGGCATGGAGGAGGAGCTGCTGGGGAGGAGCCCGATGTCTGTCTTTTGTCTGTTTTTCTTTTCCTTTGTTTGCTGCTTGAATGGTGGTTCTGTTTGGGTGCTTCCTGGGTGAGGCTTAGCTACCTGCTGGTTGTGGTGAGAGGACCGCCAGTCCTGGCCTGGGAGGAGCCTGGCTAGTCTCTGTGCAGTCAGCAGGGAACCCTGGAAAGAGAAAGGGGAGTCCTAAGATAAGGAGACCCAGTAGGGAGGCCTACTGGCAGCCGCATACCTCCAGCTTCCTCAGTCACTAGATTATACCCTGCAGGGGCTACAGAGCCTTTGCCAGGACACAGGGCTGCCCAGCCATCGCCTCCCTCTGTGTTGAGTAGCTGCCAAGGGACTGAGACACCTGCACCCCTTCTCAGGGTGAGGTGCCCTAGTGTAACCCCATGTCTGTTCTCCACTGTGGGTCACAGTCCCTCCTGAAGGAGATGGCTCTACAGTGTGTGGCCTTCTCTGGGACAGCCTAGAAAGCCTTTTTCCTGGGGAGGAGGGGCTGTGGGGCTTGGCAACAGAGACTCACAGCCCCAGGCTTGAGGCCCTCAGAGCAAGATCAAGGTGCCAGAAGTAGCTTTATGTCCCTGTGTGGCCTTTCTCTGTGTCCAGAGTGAGTGGGCTCCAGGGATTTGTCCCATAAGGGCACAGTCACTTGAGGACCTAGGCTTAAGACCTCATCTGAGCTACGACACACTTTGTCTCTCCAGACCTTCTCACTGGGGCTGGGGAATCCAGCCTGTGCCTCTTGACTCTCACAGGGTCGTTTCACAAACATGAATAGCTAGAGCTGTCTCTCCTTAAGAATCCCCCATATTGGGAGGAACAGATGAATGCCAAATGGGTACACAGTTGCGGCTGTTGTGCCTGGTGTCTTGGGAACATGGTGGCTGTAGCCAGTGCAGAACCAGCTCAGGTCTTGGGGCATCCTCTGCTATACAAGTCACCGTGCTCGACCAGCCTTGATTTCCACTTTGTCATGTGGGCCATATGCTCTCCTGGTGGCTTTCCAGGGGGTCCTGTGCCTGGTGTTCCATACAGTCATGTCCATGTGGGAATTTAGGGAGGTTAGGTTGAGGGCACATCTGGATAGGTAGGGGGCTTTCTGATCCAGAGGCATTGCTGCTTGGGTCACCCATGTCTGTCTTCCTGACAAGCCTGGGGCTGAGGCCGCTTTTGGTCTCTCTTGTAGCTCTCCATGGTTTCCAGAAGGGAAGGAGCCCTGTTTCCTGTTGCCAATCTGGAGTCCACTCTGGTTCTTTGCTGTGAGCCAGTGTGGGAACCTGCTGCTGCCCAGCCATGCTTCAGACACTTGGGATTTCCTAGTCAGCGGGGAGAGAAACAGTTCCCAGGAAGGGGTAGATAATGGGCAGTCAACAGAGGCCCCGAGAGGGAGGGAGACCGCAGCTCTGGCACTCTGGAGGGGTTTCCTACTCAGGCTGACCCAACCAGGGCCTTGGAGGATGAGAAAGGTACGGTTTAACTGAGTACCCTTGGGAAGAAATTCAAGCAAAAAAGCGGGACTTTTCAGAGCCCTGAAAACACTAGTGAGCAAGCTTCAGATACTCAGGGAGGGATAGAAGGTTGAAGCAGTTCCTGGTTTTTTTTTAAATTTTTATTTATTTATTTATTTATTTATTTCTGGCTACAGAACTATTTTCTTACCAAACCCTGTCTAGAATTCTGGGAGACACAGGTTGGTCATTAGCAGGCACCTTGAAGTTGCCTGGAAAGGAAGGAAATCGAAGAGGCCAGAGGTGAGAGGGGTCTAAGCTTTAGTACATAGCTCAGTTCCCTGCATGCAGCGTTTGTAGAGGAAGGCAGGCCAGGGCAGTGGGAGCAGCCAGAGGCCTGGGAGTTGACGATAGGAGAGATGTCCATTTCCAAGCCTGGCAGCTCTGGGGTGGGGTGGGGAGGATAGATGTTTGGTGGAAAGACGCTGACGAGTGTGTTCATGTGTGTGCGCCTGTGTGTTTGTGTACATGTGTGCGCGTGAGAAGATCCTGGCTACAACCAGGGAAGGGAGTATGCCCTGAGGTCAAGCACAGGACATTTCCAGCAGAGCTGGAGTGTTTGTGGGGGCTCTGAGACCCACAGCAGAGAAACGGAAGCTCTGGGCTTCCAGCAGGGGTCACTGAGGTCAAGCTTGATTCCTGGAGGGGGTGCGTGTTGAGGGGTGTAGAGGCAGACCCCCTGCCCTGGTCAGGCCCCATGCCCAGGCTGGTGGGGACAGGAGGTCTGTGATGGTGGGGGGGCGTTAAAAGGGGGTGGGGTGCATGATGTGATTTAACCTACTAACCAACTCAGGGCTCGGCCAGGACGCTGTGGCACATGACAAGATGCCTGGCCTTCTGTCAATTGACTAATCCACTAACCTGGCCTGAGCATGTCCTACTAACCCTGCGGCAGCCAAACCCTACTAACTGCAGCCCATGGGCCTTCCCAGAGGCTGGGGCAGACGAGGCTGAGGAAGGCCCTGCCTGGGGCCTGGGATCTCTGTGCAGACCCATCCTGCAGGGCAGGGCACGCTAAGAGACACACCAACTCTGCTGCTGGGGACTGTGTACCAGCCACCTACTCTCTGTGGTGGAATGGGACCCTTCTACTCCCCTCGATGCCTGTGGTGGGCAACGAAGGTACTGCTGCCCCAGCAGGGACTTCAAAATGGAAAAAGACAGGGTGAGGGCAGGCTGCAGGGAACTCGGTGCTATGTCCATCCCCTGATCTCGGGTGTTCTGCACACAGACCCTTCTGCCTGAGGCAGACACATGCTTTGAACCCTTAACTGTCTCTTCCTGTTCTCTTCTTGCCAGCTTTCTCTCCCATAGGCAAACTCTTTTGATTACTAATTGTCTAACCCTGGGGCACCCCACCCGCACCCCGCTGCCCCTTAACTAACTAACGGCCCCGCTGCCTTCTTCTCTCCTAGTGGCTCCTGTGTGTGTCCGCTGGTGCTGTGCTCTGACCTACTAACCCGGCCCTACTAACCGGTTTCTCTAACTAATCCAGCCCTGCCGAGCTCTGGGCCTCCTGGGGGCTGGTCCCTCCTTCTGGCAAACAGATGTCCCTGGGCTGACCAGGCCAGGTCTGAGTCAGGGGACAACCATATTAGTGATGCCCAGAGGAGGAGGAGGAGGAGGCTGTCCTGTGGGTGTGGGACGCTGGGCTCCGAGCATGACCTCTCTCCTCTGTGCACAGGACTGGTTGCCATCAGGAGTGGATGGGACCAGGGGATCTTGTGGGAGCCAGTGTGGGGCCTGTGGATCTAGCGTAGGAGATACCAGGCCCTACTTAGCCTAGGCCCTCTGTGATTTGGGCCAGATAGAAAGTGTTAGGAACCCCAGAGACTGGCCATCTTATACAGGACCGCAAGGGTGTGCGTTTGAACCTCAAGCCGACAGAACGGCTTGGCCTCCGTGGAAGCTGTAAGTGAGAGCTTCCTAAGTAGGAAGTATGTGAAGCGGCCTTTCCCTGTGAAGCTACAGAACAAAGTCAGGCATTCCTCAAGTGAAGCCTGAGGAGACGGCATCCGGACACTGCAGTCTGAGAAGAGATGGCCAGTGACCAGTGGGCAGTGAGCCTGAGAGACCTTTCCCACTCAGGGGTGGGAATAGCAATCTGGAAGTAGATGCGGAACCATTTTCACACAGGAAGAAGGTGTGAGGGTATTTTTCCTCAGGAAGTGTGGAGAAAGACTCGCCCCACACTTGGAAAGGACAGACTGCCAGCTGCCCTGGTGCACAGGTGTGGAAATGCCTATGGGAAGGGGACATAGGTGCCCGGACATGACTCCTAAGGGCCCAAGGGTCACTGGGAAGTCACACCAACTGTTTATTGACCTGTTAATGCTCATGCCTCTGCCCCAGCCAGCCTCCCCCAGAGCCCGCCAGCTGCTACGCCAGGGCCACACCTGGAGGTGATTTCATGCCTCACCTCCAGTAGGCTCATGGCCTCTCTGGGCTAACCTCTGACTCCCTCGCACTAACTAGCTCTTACCCAGCTGATTCCTGCCTCTCCATGGCTGCCCCAGGGGCTGACCACTAACAGCCAGCCCTGCCTATTGGTGGGGGGGCGTATGGGCCCAGGTTCCTGGCCTGGCTTTGGCCGGCTCACTTGAACTACCCTTCCTCTGGACTAATTCATTGTTCCTTTTGGCAGAAGTGAATGGCTGTGGCTTTCTCTCTGACAGGTCTCCTTCCCTCCCGCTATTACCACTAATGGCTTGGATGGCAGCATGGCCGGGAAGGGGCTGGTACAGGTTCCTAGCTTGGTGGACGTGGGGGGAATGTAGCTAGGGAAAGTAGATCCCATGACTGCTCTGGGTCAGAGCTTCCAAATATCAGTCAAGGTGGTACCCAGGCTGGGGTGTGGCTCAGGCCAGAAGAAAGGATACGGTCATCTACTGAGCACCTTGGTGGGGTCAGACCTACAGTCAGCCTTCTAGAGGTGTGGCCACTGACCCAACCCCCTAATCTTATGACCTGCAGGGCCTGTTATCTCCTGGAAACTACAGCCTCAGTCCTCATAAGCAGAGGCAGCTCGTAAGTTTCACCTAAGACACCTGTCCGGTTTCCTCAAAGGATTTGTTATTTACGGAATTGCTGGAGACAAGACCAGGGTCTGCTTTGAGTCCTTGTTTGAGAGACTTACAGAGTTTTGTCCCTATAAACACCAAACTCAGACAGAAAAATCCACAAGGGCTGTAAATTCTCCAGCCACTCCCACCCTAGAGAAGCCCAGCTTCTCTAACTCTTCTAAGGCAACTCTTTGACACAGGGTGCACTGAGGCGAGGGGGTGTGGCTGGTAAGGGGGGGGGGCTCTTAAGGCAAGGGGATGTCCTTGGTGACCAGGAGTAGCAGGGGTGTGACACCAGGCTGAGGCGGGCCAGAGGGTCTTGTTTCACTGAGTTGGTCTGGCCTACAGGTCAGAGCCTAGACTATTGGAGGCTCAGCGGCACTGTTTGGACCTGTGGGTGACCTCAGGAACAGGTTGCCTGGGTCAGCGGGTGCTGTGAGAGCTGCTTTCCCATGGGTTAGGTCTCACTGCAACAGTTACCCAGCCACCAGCGAGCCTGTAGGAGCTACAGCGGAAATGGAGGAGATGCCCCTTAGGGAGGTGGGTTAGCATACGAGATAGGACTGGGATGCACCGCTGCTGCCCTCTCATGGCCGCTCCGCTTCATTTTACCCACAATGCCCAGGAGCTCACGCAGCAGAGGCTGCCCTCCTGGGGCCCTGCGCTGCACCAGGCTCTGGTACAGCTGCTGAGACTGGACCTCAGCCTTCTCCTCGAAGGCATGAGAGTCCCGATATGGTCCTCAGTAGCTGAAATTCTGTGTGGTGGTCCCAGGACAAAGAGCTCGAGTGAGGCAAGCAGTGGGGAGAGCTCTCAGAACAGGCGTCACACCAGCCAAACTTTGGTAAGCAAGGCACGGCTGAGTACAAGCCCCAGGCAACTCAAGATCAGAGAGGATCCAAACAGATTCTGGGGGAGCGTATTAGGTGAAGGGGCTCAGGATGGGGCAAATCCCAGGCCTCGTTGTCAGCAAAAGCGGGCTTCATCCTTGGGGTGCCAGATGTGGTCTGCACTTGTAATTCGTAGCACTAAGGCGTTAGAGACAGATCTGTGGGGTCCACCGGCCTATCAGCCTAGCTCATCATACGGTCTGAGCCGGTGGCAGGGCTGGGGTTTCACGCTACTTCCGTCTCTTCAGCCGAGCAGGGAGGAGCTTGCAGTGTGTGCGGGCCACATTCTACACTGCACCAGAACTTCTGGTCACTAGGAAGACCCTTTGGTCTAACTGGAAAGGAGCAGGGTTCATAGTGCTCACCCTCAACCTTCATTGGGGTTCATGAGAGATACCTGGAAAGCAAGGGACAGAAGTGACAGGAACTTAAAACTTAATACAGACCCCAGGCCCCAATGGTGTATGCCTCCTTCAGAAGATCTGGAGGTAGGTGATGTTGACAGTGATGGTGTGTGTGTGTGTGTGTGTGTGTGCGCGCACGCACATGTGTGTGCATGTGTGTGTATGTGTGTGTGTATGTGCATGCATGAGGGTGGGAGAAGAGAGTATGACTAGAGGAAGTCGAGCCTCTGACGGCACATTCTCTTTTGTCCCTGGGCTGCTCCTCCTCCTGTCTTTTCCACTAAACTTTAGGCTTGTTTTGAGCAGGAGCCTACAGGTTACAGTGGAGCCTCCTGTCTGAAGGTGTCAGTATCTCTTTACAGCCTGCCTGGAGGGAGGGGCCACTGTGGATTCTGCCCCAGGGTGGGTTGGTGGCAGTAGGACAGCCTGGGGGTGCTCAGGGTGGGAGCCCTGGTGCAGCCCTGGGGTCCCCCAACAGTCTCTGTGGAATCTGTTCTAGGGCCCATTGTTTTATGACCAGCTTATCAGAGATGTGTGCATTGTTTCTGCTGGGGAATGCTGACTGTGGGCCCTGGAAGCCTGCTGTAAAGCCTGGATTGTTCTGTGGGTTCACCCACAGTTACTGGGTCTTTTGATGTTCATGCTTGTTGCTGAGTCTGTGTAAGATGCCATTTTGATATTAAAACTGGCACACACTGGAGAGTGACTGGTTTATGAGGTGGAGGGATGTGTTGTCTTGGGAAGGGGCACTCAACATGGCTTCTGAGACAGTGTTAGCAGAGTTGCCAAGTCAGCCCAACAAAAGAAGCACTCCTTATTTTATTAAAACATTTGGAACCGGTGTGGCAGCACAGGGCTTTAATTCCAGCACTTGGATCTCTTTGAATTTGAAGCCAGGAAACCTGTCTCGAAAAACCAAAACCAAACCAAACCAAACCCAAACAAACCAAACCAAAGCAAACCAAAAACCAACCAACCTAAAACCATACCAAAACCAATCAACCAACCACCACCATCACTAACAACAACAACAACAACAACAAAACAAACATGAAAAACAAACAAAAGCCACTTGACTCACCAGGTGGAATGCTTGCTATGCAAACTTGGTGGTGAGTTTAATCCCTGAAACACACAGTAGAAAGAGGGAACAGGTTCCCGAAAGGTGGTCCTTCGACCTCTCCATGTGTGCATCCTGGGATGTCATCCCCCACATGTGCATCCTGGGCTGTCATCCCCCCACTTGTGCATCCTGGGGTGTCAACCCTCACGTGTGCATCCTGGGGTGTCATCCCCCCACGTGTGCATCCTGGGGTGTCATCCCCCCATGTGTGCATCCTGGGGTGTCAACCCTCACATGTGCATCCTGGGATGTCATCCCCCACGTGTGCATCCTGGGGTGTCACCCCCCCCTTGCCTGTCTCAGTATATAAAATAGAACTTTCATAGGGCCGTGGAGACAATTCAGAAGGTGAAGTACTTGCTGCACAAGTGTGAGGATCTGAACTCAGATCTCAGCACAGATATGATGTGTGCTTGGAACCCCAGCCCAGGGGAAATACAGACAGGCAGACTGCTGGAGCTCATTTACCAGCAAACCTCGCCTAGTTGATGAGTTTCAGTCAGCAAGAAGCCCTGCCTCAAAATGTAAGACAGAGGCGTGACACCCGAGGCTGACTTCTGGCTACCATACACGTGTGAATGTGCACCCTACCCATGTACACACCCCAAACACCACACTATATGCACACACACACACACATACATGCAGTGCATAGGCGCGCACGCACACACACACACACACACACACACACACACACATACACACACACACACACACACACTTGTGTTTTGGAGCTGGTCTCACTAGAGTGGCTTCAAACCTCTGGCCTCCTGCCTCAGACTCTGTTGTGGCTGATTACTACAGCCAGAGCACTGTACAGCTAACTGTGAAGTACACACATGTGTGACTACTACAGCCAGAGCCCTGTGCAGCTAACTGTAAAGTACACATGAGTTACTCGACCATCCTAAGTGGAAAACTTGGTGCTATCCAATGTGCTACCTTTGCCACCATCAGTAATTTTCTTTTTCATACCTTGCTTCTTTTGTGTCCAGAGTGGGCCTTACATAGATCTAAGCTCTTTTTTTTTCCTGTAATGTTGTTACATGTAACCTCATTGGTGGGAGAGAAAAATGTGCTCAGTGCATGGCTGTGAGAGGATAATGAATATCTGACACACTCTACTGTCTCCCTTGGCAGCACCAGTGACAGACATTGCTTGTTGATCACCTATCTCTCTTTGGGAACTGAGGTGTGTCTTTAGGGTCTTTTTCAGAACAATGTTTTAGTGAGTCTTCTTTCAAATGGATTCTCCTGAGGAACGTTTGAATCTGGGCACGGCCAATTCCTTGCTGTATCTGGAGAAGAGCTGACATTCTCTGAGCTACCATTTTCTTTGTACAATGGGGACTGTAAAGTTTTTTTTGGCCCAACAAACCTCTCCACCTATGCAATAATCCAAATCAGACCAAATCAAGCCAACTTAGAAAAAGTCCAGGCTTAATAGATGCCAGCATTCCTGGGTGGCCCTTCGGAAAAACACTGAGAGGGGGAAGGAGAATCGGGGAGACCATGTGTTCGGTCTCTGGGGGGTAGTTTAAATATCCTGTGGGAGTGGTCTTGACCCTCTCTGGCAAGGGGGTCAGTGTTTGGTTGGTTTTCTCAGAGGTGGAGTCTGGACTGCAGCAACTCCTGGGGAGGGGGCTTGGAATGGAACTTTCCACTAAACATTCCAGACTCCTTGTAAACATGGATGCCAGGGAGGCTGGGGTGATGCTTCCAACCAAACATCCCAGACTCCTTGGATAAAGGGGGCACGGGCTCAAGTCTGGCATGGGGTGATGTGGGAGAAGGGAGAGTTGGGAGTTGGTGGGCTCAAGCTCAGTGAGAGGTGTGGCTGGAGAGGCATCCGGTAACTGCCATCCTGGAGACCTCAAGCAGCTGTTTCTTGAGGGAGATGAGAAGGCAGCTGGCTAGGAGAAAAAAAAATATTGCTATTACCAGCACTATTAATGGGGCTGGTCATGGGAGGGGTCATTAACTGCCAGAAAAAATGGGACAGAGAAGTGCCCTGGTTGTACAGGTGAGGCTTGGGTGAATAAGTGAGACATGAAAGCAGATATGCCCTTTAAAACCAGATTTTAGTTGGTTGGTGTTCTTTTGAGCAAGGAGAGTTGTTACTAATAGTGAAGTCCTAGGAGCTGGTGCAGATGTTGGCATTGTCTAGAAGGCCCTCTGTAAGTTGGTCTTGGCCCAAACAGACTCCTGTAAAATATGCTTGAAAATGGGCAGGGTTAAAATAGGCTCTGGAGACTGTTAGTTTTTACCAGACCAAATTTTTAGCAACATTTTAGAAGACACTTAAAGGGAATTGGGAACTTTGGATCTCTGAAGATACATCTGAAACCTGTTAACCCTAGACTATGAAGCCTGTGAAAGAGGCACACTTGTTTGTATTTTTAGCAGGAAACTTAACAAATGAAGTAATGAGTTATGAGAGCTACCAGTGCCTGAAGTCGTCAAATGCCATTAGACAGATCTGGGAGGGATAAATGAGCAGAAATGAGACAGCTTTTTTAGCTACACAGGCAATCCCAAGCCTCTCCATAGTCTTTGGAGAACATCAGCCTTAGAATCAGTGCTTGCCATTAGCTGCTGAGTCCAGGAGGCCCGAAGATTTTCCTGTTGGGGGAAAATTTAGTCTGCCTGTCTTAGAGGATGAGATGATTGATCCCCTGGTGTAGCGTCCAGAAACCTGATGAGGTGGAAAGCTGCTGTGACTTACGCCTTCAGAAAGCCACATTTTGCTGTGTGGTGGCTTTGCCATACCCAAAGGCAAGCCTTGAGGCAGGTCTTTTGTAACCTTGCATCTTCTTGGAGGAGATATAGGATGCTGCAGGAGCTAGCATGTCTCTGTATTAGATGCTCTTTTGTTAAATGCCATACTCTCAGATCTGTAAAGACTCTTGAGAATTGGGTACCATTGTCTGTTAGTTATATTTAAATTAGACAGTAAGTTAAATTTAGACATTTTTTTTTTACTGAATTAGTTCCGGCTTACCAATGCTAGTAAATGTAGAAAGATTAAAGGGAATATTTTAGTAAGTTAAGGAATTTTGGAGGTGGAATGTCTCTTTAGGTCCATCACACATGGATACTCTTATCCAAGATGACACTGAGGTCAAAATGGCTACCTATGTGTTTATATTTTTTTAAGCTGTTGTAATCTGTAGTTACAAGTTTTACAGATCTTAAGACATATATCCACACAGAGAATAAGACAAGCATACTGTGAAAACAAACACACATACACACATAGACATAAAAGCATAGTGTGTTAGGAACCTGTGTTAGCTGACCAGAAGCCAGGGAAGCACACATGTGGTCCTGTTAAGGACCAGATTAGCAGATGCTGTAAGAGGGAACAGAAACATAAGGACGGAAGAACTACACAGTTTTAGAGCGGAAGGACAGGGGAAAACAGTTCCATTGTAGGGTCCCAGCGTGACCAGATTAATGCCGGGAGTGGAGACAAACAATACACAGCTAGAGAAGTGGGGAGGGAGATCAGGGAAGGGGAGCAGGAGCAAGGGCACAGCATCTGGAAACCATGGGCATTCGGAGCCTTGTTTGTTTTACATTAGGCATTAGATAGCCCCAATTTAAAAGGATTTTTATAAAAGGCAGCACAAGGGCATTTGGAGATCAGGCCTCAAATTGCAAGTGTCCATTTTTACAAGTCTTTACCAAGTCTCAGAACTCAAAGTCTACCACAATGCGTCCACTGTGATAAGACTCTTGAGCCAAAAACAGGTGGGTGTGAGAATTCCTTGGGCAGGAGTCTCCTCTGAAGGAGCTCACAAGGGCAAGGACTGCCTCACCCCTTAGTCAGGTCCCGGGTCCCGCACTGGCCATGACTTCAGCAGACTGCCTGACAAACAAATTAGGCCCTGGGCCTTAAGGGCATTGATTTGAATGAAGGGGAACTAACCCAGATGAAGCCATCTTAGCCTGGTGCCTCCATGCGCCTTCTCACACGGGCGAGAAGGGCATTTTCCAACATGTAGCCCTGAGCCAATGGGGAAAAAAAGCCCCCCCCCACGGGACCTCCAGATGTAAAGCTTTTCTGGCCCAACAAACCTCTCCACTGATGCAATAATCCAAATCAGACCAAATCAAACCAAATTAGAAAAAGCCCAGGTTTAATGGATGCCAGTGCTCCTGGGTAGCTACGGAAAAACATGGAGAGGGGGAAAGAGAACTGGGGAGACCACGTGTTCATTCTCTGGGGGGGGCAGTTTAAATAGCCTGTGGGAGTGGTCTTGGCCTTCCCTGGGAGGGGGTCACTGTTTGGTGGGGTTTCTCAGAGGTGGAGTCTGACTGTGGCAACTCCCAGGGGAAGGGGCTTGAATTGGAACTTTCCACCAAACAGAGACCACACTCTCATCCAGTATGGGTGATGTGAAGGTCTCCCAGGGTTTTTGCTGAACTGAGCTGAACTCCTACCATGCCCCAGGTGACAGAGTATAGGGTCAGGGGCTTTCCAGCCAGAGGGAACAGGAAGCTGGGCTTTCTGGAAGAGGCTGAGATGAAGTAGCAACTGCCAAAGGCCCCAGCATTTCGGGTGGTTCCTTCAC